TTAGTTGGCATAGAACCCTTGACAAGGAAAACCTCGTCAGGGGCTCATACAGCGTCCCTGCCAGTATCTCTGAAGAGCAGGACCCCAGGTAACCGCTGTAGGCTTGAGGGCTCAGGGTGTAGGGCTCACATCCCTACACTTCACATAGCACGAACTCGACTAAACCCTGAATTTTATCCTTACACCCTAAACCCTAAACCCTAAGCCCAAAACCCGAAACCGAAAACCCTAAACCCTAAACCCTAAACCCGAAACCCCCAACCCCATTTTCGAGAACTGGCCACAACAGAGGCACCCTGCGCCGCCTGGCTCCGGAGTCGCGCCGGGGCGCTCGCGGAGGAAGGCCGCTACAAGGGTTTTTCGTGTTTGGGTTTTTCGTGTTTGGGTGTTGAGGTGTTGAGGTGTTGAGGTGTTGAGGTGTTTAGGTGTTTAGGTGTTTAAGATATAGATGTTTAGGATTTAGGTGTTTAGGGTTTAGGGTTTTCGGGTTTGCGAGTTCACAAAACCCGATAAGCCTGTAACACACGTACAAACCCCTAAAATTGGGATGTTCCCCCCTTATACTAACAGTCCTGAATAGGGAATATGGCAGGGGCACTAGAATCCGTGCTAAGGACTGTTAGTCTAAGGGGGAACACCCAACACAAACGCCCAAAAACAAAACCCCTACACCCCAGTCCTAAACCCTAAACCCTAAACTCTAAACCCTAAACCTAAACCCTGAACCCTGAACCCTAAGCCCTAAACCCTAAACCCGAAAGGGGGGTCTTATTCAATGGGTTTAGGGTTTAGGGTTTAGGGCTTAGGGTTTAAATTCGGGTTTAAACCCGAAACATACCCGGACCCCGAAGAGGTTCCCTGAATATGCTCCTGATACCACCCTCATATTCCCTTAGAGAATCTTTAGAATTAGTCCCCAAAGCCAAGGGTGCAACCTTCTAGGGGTCCGAGGGAGAGTCCCATATGAAGTAGGGTTTTTATTTCTTGTACCCCCAAAAGGACACCGAGTAGATACACTCACCAATATTGAAAAGGAGCCTTATATACACTCACCAGTAACAGTAATATAAACCCTACTTCATATGATAAAC